TTCCAGACATGTACCATTAAAGGTTGGGTCTATCAAGTAATCATGGATAGTTAAATTGTGAAAATGTGGTAGCCATAACAATGATTGAGAAACGATAATTACCGATAGTAGAATATCATAATCCTTACAAGTTGTCAAGGATTCAAAAAGATAACAAAGGGTTTCCAAGAGATGTCTAGTTATTTCTCAATTGGAAACTTCAAAGAGCAGATGTGGTGTGTTGTAGCTCTGATGAACGCATGCCACATGTTGTGAAGCAGACTATGGCAATATCATCGAAAGACTATCCATGACAAAGCTGCCAACACTTTTTCTTTCAACCACAAAGGAGAGCTCAAATCATCATGGTTCCATTGCCAACAGCTACGATGGGATTAGCAGCAAACAATATAGTGTTATCCTGATCCATGTTCTTAAGAGAATTACACAAATCCAATAAAAGATATTTGTTGGCCCTGACGAAAGGAGATGAAACCATCTACAAGGCATCTAAAGCCATTGTGCCACTTCTTCAAGAATATACAAATGTGTTAGCTGCTGAAATACCTGATAGTTTGCCTCCATAGAGGGAAATTAATCACGCAATGGACGACATTCCTGGATTTGTAGTTCACAGTCAACATGCTTATCTATTAAGGCCCCAGGAATAGGAGGAATTGCGTTGTCAGGTGGAGGATATGATTGACAAAGGGCGTCCGAGCCAATGCTAGGCCGTGCATTGTTCCTACTCTTCTTGTGCCAAAGAAAGATGGTACTTTTTGGATGTACAGACAATCGAGCTGGAACCAAGACGACTATGAAATATAGATTCCCAATTCCTTGCATCAAAAAACCTTTTCCATCAACTACATGAGTCGACCATTTTTTCCAAAATTGATTCACAGAGCCCTTATCATCAGATACAGATGTCACCAGAGAGTAAATGGAAAATTGTATTTCAAATGTGGGATGGACTATATGAATTTATAGTTATGTCGTTCGGGTCATATAATGCATTGAGCACATTGACACGGCTTATGAACTAAATATTTCAATCATTTCTATACAAATTCGTGGTGATATACTTCAATGAAATTCTTGTTTACAGCTATATACTCGACAAGCATCTACAACACCATCAAATTTTTGACATCTTACACGAGCGGTGATTATTCATGAATCCCAAAGAAGTGATAGTATTTAGCTAATAAAACAAGTTTGTAGGCTTTCCCAATTCTGTTGCAGAACTAGAAGTCGACCCAACTAAGATTGAGGCAATTGCAAATTAGCCAATTCCTCAACCATTCAAAGAAGTGTAGCAATTCCATGGGCTAGCGCTATTCTATAGGCGATTTATCAAGAATTTCAAAACAAATGCAACCTTCATCACTAAAACTCTCAAGAGCCGACCATATTTATTGGGACGATAAAACATTATCCAGTTGAACATTTGCAGCAATAGGTTTCATCCGCCCTAGTTCTGGCTCAACCCGATTTCAAAAAGCCGTTCGAAGTAGAGTGCAATGCCTTGAAAATCAACATCAAAGCTGTCCTTAGTCAAGGACCTCCCATCACATTTTTCAACAAGAAATTTATTGACTATCAATGAAAACACTCCACCTACAATAAGAAATTTTATGTGATAATTCGTACACTACACTATTGGAACCATAATTTGTTAGCAGGTAAATTCATCTTGTTCTCTGACCATGAAGTTCTCTGGTTTCTTGGTAGCCAAAAAAAAAATTATATGGAATATCTAGTTGCCTTTCAATACATGCTGAAACATAAATCCAATCAATGCAACCAAGTTGTGGATGCTCTCTATCGCAAACATCTACTAGTTCAGATATTACAATCCAAGGTGATAGGATTTGAACTATTGAAAGAGTTGTATCATAAGGATGCCAATTTCAAAATCATATGGGAAAAATGACAATCAAGTCATTTTCAACTCTATCACATAAAAGAGGGCTCTTTTTTTCTCTGCAATCATCTTTGCATTCCAAAATGCACAACATGGCTAGCTACTTTGGCCAAATGTCATGAAGGGGGCATGGTCGATCATTTTGACAAAGATAAGACTCTACTTTTGATCAAGGTAAATTTTTATTGGCCCTTGCCTCCTAGGGATGTCAACCGCTTCATTAAGCAATGTCGCATTTGCCGAATTATAACAACTCAAGAAAAAAATGTAATATTATACATGTCGTTACACATCTCGACCACCCCTTGCGTCAATATCGACTTTGTGCTCGAATTACCTTGTATTCAGCGACATAAAGATTTGATTGTGGTAGTGTTATATCGATTTTCAAAAACGGGGTGTGGGTCGGCTCAAGCAAGACTCGATAAATGGCTTGATGAGCCTAGCATGAGCTAGCCTCGACTCAACTTGTAAGCTCCCGAGCCGTCTCGTTTAAAAAACAATAATATAAAATACACTTAACATATATTAGAATTTAAAAATTCAAGTATAAACTATTAAAAATATTTAAAATTTATATTTCACTTTCTTATATCAAGTGATTCTTTATTATTTATTTTTTTAATTTTCATTCTTTTTTATAATTTTATTATAATAATTACTTGAATCATAATTATTTTCTCTTTCGTTATAAATGAGTCGACACAAATTCATAGAATTAAGCTCGAGCACAAACTCGATTAGTTAATCAAGCTCAAGCTCAAACTAGTGTTGACTTGAGCTCGGCACGACTCGTATACACACGTACCCACTATTATGAGCCTAAAGCTTCTTCTGCCCTAGAGGAATGATGTCGAAGCTAATATAAAGTTGTTCAACATCTCCTTAACAAGGAAAGCTATTGTTATTTCAAATTAAATATTTCATTGTATAGACTTAAAGGGGTGTGTGTGTGTGTTTTACATCCTAAATGATATGTTGCTATATTCATGTGGTGGGTTTTAGGAGACAAGAATCGTAACCGTTGCTTTGATTAGGGGCCAAGTGTTGAGTGTAGCCCCCGGTCTCAAGAATGAGGTTCACATATTGTGTCTCATCAGTGTCACCAATATTCTCAAAAGTCAAAACGATCAAGCACACTTAAGGCAATGTGGTTGCCTGCCCAACACTTGAGGTGTTAGGTGTCCCCAAAGGTACTCACCCACGTAATGTGGGGATGAATAAAGAAATAGTTATATTAAGTTTATAAATTTTATTTAATTAAGAGGAGTATTGTTGAAGAGTACAAAATGATAGTCATACTAAATTATGTCGGAAAAATAATGAATTTTCAAGTTCCATTGCATTTTAATTTCAAAAAACATGCTAAATAGATCATTTGAATAAATACACTTAAACTACTTAAATTTATAGCACGAAGACCTAAAGATAATCTAACATTTACAACTATATATTCCATATTCTCACCATTCATGTTCTCTTCGTTATCACTAAACTTGTAGTCCTCCATCTCTTAGTTTTCTTAGAATCGTCATCCTCTTCATGATTTATTACTCTAGAAATACTTATAGTTGGTCATCTTGTTTTCAAGGGAGCGGTGTCAACCTATGTTAAGTTATAACCATAAAAAATATCTCATAATTAGCATATGATTTTTTTTTCACCAGGAGACTTGATGTTGTTGTTGAGAAAAATATCAAATGTTAACTTGCGAAGTGAAAGAGACCATAGCTAAATCACAAGAAACACAAGCAGGAGGAGTCCAATGCTAATTTTTAGTCTTTGTCCATTGAAACACAAGTAGGCATGATAGAATAAAGTGTTCAAAAGGCTTTTAAAAGCTATTCTATGGACAATCACTTAAATCAGGGCAAGTCATTCACCTCAAAACTTGATGCCATAGACAAGGCAAAGAGCTCGCCTAGGCACATCGCTATGGCCTCACCTTTACCCAAGCTCAAAGGAGGGAATTTGGCTCGCCATTAACAACACTAAGTACGCACATAAATTAGTATCTTGGGCAAGTTTCCAGCACAATCAAGTTTCAAAAATGTGTTTCATTGTTCAAACTTGTAGGAATAATAAATTCTAATTATATAACTAGAAATTCTAAAAGTTCTCTATGTGTATGGTTTCATAATAAGCGAAAATGCAAGAGTAAAGCATCTTCTCCCAAAGAAATTCACACAAAAAGGATAATAGATTAAGACATTGTCTACTTGATCTAACAAATTTCACAAACAAAATTGTCTTTCAATATTGCGCCACCTAAACAAATTGAACCATAATTTGAATTTTCTTGTATAGATGATGTTGGGGGGGGGGGAGGAATTGATGTCTTGGTTTTGGGCTGATTTGGTTTGGGCTTAGTTGTCTCCAGGTTATGCTGCCCCTTTTGGTGATTTGCTGGTTCAGCTTCTTATTTCAGCTCGTTATGATGTTATAAATGCCTTTTTCAGCTCATAATGAGTGTTCGGGTTCATTCCCCCCCACTGTTTGGCCTTCAGTTTCTGTGCTTGGCTCCTATTCCCGCGGCTGCCCGTTCTTGTCCCCCGCGTGATCCCTTCAGGTGCTGCTCCTGGAGCTACCTGTTGGCCTTTTGTCTCCCTTTTTCTGGTTGGTTCGGCTGGAGCCTATTTGTGGCTGTTTGGCTCCCTTTTATCAACTATAAATTGGGGCTGTTTTGGAGCAGATTTAGTGAGATCTTGGTAATGATTTTTGGAAATAAAAACATGCGGGTTTACATAGCTTGTGATCTATGGTCTTCTTTCCTCTTCTCCTCTTAAAATTCGTCTCGGTCTTCTAATCCCTTCTTCTCTATCCACAATTTCCACTACATATGCATCCTTCTTCTCTAAAATATATATAAGTTTTATGGTTTATGTTTGTCATTTGTAGTTGAAGTTTCTCTTAATTTGCAATCTTAGTGTTTATATTTATCTATGTTGTAAGACAAGAAGATTTGTGTCTTTGCAATATTTTCTTGTTGCATCAATAGATTTCTCTAGGAGTGAAACAATATTCAATGTAAAACAACTATATTAACTATATTTGCAAATGCAAAACTGAAAGTTACAAGAAGTATTTTAAGTACCCATTTTCTCTGACAGACCGTCTTAATGCTCCTCTACCTTCACCAGGCTTTCCTTCCTTTCGCTTTTCCATCTCTCTAGCCTACATAAATGACAGAGTTGTCTATGTTCTTAAAAAAGTTAAAGAGTGCATAGTTTATTATAGGTAAAACGATAGGATCTCTACTGACCTTCCACTTAAATCGATCATCTAGCATGCTCCTTTGAGCGTCTGATAGCTTCCCAACATATTTCCACACATCATCTCCTACACGAATAAAAACCACAGAGTTAAGACTTAGGATTACATGTCAAAAGCAGCTAGATAAAAATATCATTATTTATGTAAACAAGTTTGCCACAATACCAATCATCAATAATAGCAGAAGTAAAAAAGCTCTCAAAAGAACTGATGAGTTCAGGACTTCAGGTCAGTGAAAGACATTCTATCAACATCCATGGAATTTCTTATATGAAACTTGTAATATATCGCATAAAAAAATAACTTATGTACCAAGAGTCTTATAGGCCGTAGCCATTGTATTTAGAGCTGCTTTCCTGATTTCACCATCTCTTTCTGATGTTAAAGCAGCAACGTGTTGCAAAGATTTCAACTGTCCACTTATCTGCATGGAAAATAACAAAATAGCATGAATAATTGAGTCACAAGAATAAATATTAACAAGAGATTAACAAGTTCACCTCAACTCCATTATGATCCATCAACCAACCAACAAGATCTACACATTCTATTTTTGTCCGGCTATTTTTTGATGACAGCCCTTGAAGAATGTATGGAAGAAACTTCGGTGCAGAATAAACACAAACAATCTGCTTCAAAAGTTCCCTCATTTTCTCTCTCACCTTCTCAATGTTATGCCCAGACTGTAGCAAAACAAAGAAATGAATGAAAGAAAATACAATGAACTTTCAACTTTTGATACTAATAATTACATCAATCTAAATGACCACTTATTGCTAAATGACAACAAAATTTAGAGAAGCAGTGCAAAAAAAGCCAAAATTTAGATTTCTTGGGACTTCTAATACACTTATAGAATATCATGGACTAAAAATGCTTTTGAGGCGCACGCCTCAAGTTGCACCTTAAATTGAGGTGCACAAGGGGCACCTTAAGGATTAAGCCTTACTTGAGGCTTGCGCTTTTCTTCAAATGAGGCACACGCCAAGAGGCATTTTGAGGAGGCGTCTCATTAAGAATAGGGTTTTTTTATATAATTACTATTAATAAATATATTAAATTATATTACAACCCCACTCATGCAACCAACGATCTTACTAAAGCTTGAGCGGGATCGGGATAGGGAGGTAGAGAGCTAGCATCATCTTCTTTGAGCGGGTTCGAACAGATTCAAAATCATGTCGAACATGTGCGTCTTCTTTGCGACCTAGGTAAGTGAACCTGTATTTTTTTCCTCAATTAATTAAGCAACATTCTTCATTTCATAGTTATTTTACAGTCAATAACATGACAACCTTTTTTAATCCTCATTCTCATGCATTTATATGTTTCTTGATTGTATTCATGTTTTCACTATTGAATCCATAAATAAATGCAAATTGGAGAATGTATATATCCAGTTGTTAATCATAAAGTATTCATACTACTTGGGGCTCGTTTGGTTGCTTCAAGATGAGAAGTATGTTTTATAAAGTGATCATTTTTGCTATTTTTATAAATTATTTGTAATTTTATGCGTATTTTATTTTTATATTATGAGGCTTACGCTTCGATCTGCCTCAAGGCTTACACCTCGCCTTGCTAAGGCAAAAACGCCTTCAATTCCTGATTTTTCCCTTTTTAAACATTGTAAAATACAGGTAGCAAATTACCTATCATGCAAACAAAACTAACCTTCTCTAAAAGACATGGGAGGAACATTGCAGCTTCAGCCTCAGTTAGACTGTAGCCCTCATCCTTCATAGTTTCAACAAGCTCAGGAAGAAATTCCAGAACCTATAAGTCAGAACATTTTATAAGAAAAACTAATTAAAAAATGAGAAACCAAATAATGATAGCATGAAGGAATTTGACAGCAGAAAATAAAATAAACTAGCACCTTCAATAAGCACGTTGTGTTAGACTCGCAAAACCGTAAAACAAACCATCTTAAAAGTATATCAACAAGTTCAATTATCTCTTTTACACATGATGGTAGGGCCTACAAAATAAAAAGTATCCAGCAATCAGATAAATACATACTATTTCTCAAAGCTAGAGTTAAAAAAAAACCTATGACTACCTTTTGCAACAAATCAAGCCCTTCCACTTGCTTCTTGAAGTCAGTGCTAAGAAGTCGTCTATGAAGGTCTTCTCTAAAATGTTTCATAATGTCACACTGCATTCATAACAAGTAGCATGATATGAAGCCAACTTTCAAGAGCCATAGGCACATAATATGTGAAAGAATACAGAAGACAGAGCTTGATGCAAATTGTACGTGTGAGATCAGCAAAAACAGTCTCCTGGGGGTCAAAAACCAAAAATAATATTAAAAAAAAAAGATACGGAGAAATGGGAAGAACATTCTTGCTTCCAGTTTTAGCTTCACCAGAAAACTATTTTATAAAGTTGCAATGATCTGTCATCAAATAGAAATAAAAATTTATATTTACGTTTAAAAAAATAATTGAACAAGGAGGGCTTTTTTCAGGGTTAAAAAATTGTGAACCCTGTCTGTAGGAAGGGAAAAGCGCACATAACAACAGTGAAGAATTGACAAGAGGCTTAATCTGGAAATAAGTGTACATCTCATCCAGAAGGTAGCATAAAAATATTAACAAAGATAACTTAAAAAGGTATCAAAAACTCAATCAACAAAATCTACCCTTACAAAACATTAAAAGCACAAATACATCACTTGACATAGAAAGAAAACACAAGCAGCATGCAAATAAATAAATAAATAAAATCCAATCTGAAGAGCCAAATAATTACTATTCTTAGGTAAAGCAATTAACAAAACTATTATTCAATAGTTTTGGTAAAATTTAGACAGACCTCGAGTTCTTGAATCTGCTCAGGTCTAGGGTCCTCAAATTTAAATCTACGTATGACCATTCTTTCTCTATCCTCCTGCTAAAAAAATGCAGAATCTCAATTTAGATGCTTAAATAGCTACAGAAACTAAGTTTTACGTAAACAAGGACTTTCCTTGCTTGAGTCCTTGACATTCAAAAGAGCTTGTGATTGCAATGCTAGATCTTGAGCAGAAAAAATATAATCCGTCTTTGAGGTCCTTGTAGGAACACCCCTCTACACAGCAAGTAAATCAACATTAAGCACACCATTTTTGACGGAACAATCGTAAACATATAAAATAACAGACCATAGGTACGGTCTTATTTGCATTCTTAGATCCTCGATCAGCAGGACCATTTGGACCTGGCTTTGCAATCTTTGAACTAATCTTGGTTGTTAGAGCAGTGGGAACAATTTTGGCAGAATCCCCAGCTTCTAAAACAGCCAAAAAAAAAAACGTCTAAGTATGGAAGAATCCATAACACAATAGTGAGATGCATAAAGTAGCGAACCTTGGATCATGCCAGGAAGTTTCAACCGTTCAAGCACAAGAGCTAAAGCAGGTCCACGCAAGTCTTTTAAATTCTTTGACACCTGGGAGATCATTAATGATAATTCTTGTCTACTGCATAAATTAAAGACAATAAGAACATAGTTTCTAGCGTTTTAAACCACATACTGCATCTTGGCCGCAAACTCTCACGACATCACAAAGAGTAGCTTCCGCAGCTTTTCTAACATCCGCTGATTTATCCTGTGTATGAAATGCATAAGATTATAAGATAACAATATTTCTTCAAAAGAATGATTTTTTGGCATCAACTTATCAAACAATGAATACCATCATGGCAGAGGCAGCTGGTTTGAGTAGGTGCAAAGCATCAGGCGAGTCACTGGTACTTGAAAGATGCCTAGACAACCAATCAAATAAATCTTTACGCCCATCAGCACCCATCTTTGGATCAGCCAGGGCAGTGATTATGTATGGAACCTGGGGCAGTGCAGTAAAACATATTTATCACAGTTAGCACATACAAAATTAAGTTTTCTACATGCTAATATGGCATCATAATCATACCATTTTATCCAGTTGAACAGCTCCAATCCATGAATCTAAAGCATTCAAAGTGCACTCCCTCATGTGCTTTTTGTTGTCACCGAGACATTTTAATACATCTGACAGAATGCCCTGGATGAAGTGCAATATTAAATAACACTTCTATGGATGGCAGTCTAGAGTTTGGGGTTACAAGTGTATGAGAATGAGATGTTAGTGGTATGCAAATAAAACCTTGCTGGACTTCTCAACTGCAAGACCCATAGCAGATGCAATACCACCTATAGTGGTTAATGTTGCCATAACCAGATTTTTGTTACTATCATATAGACGACCTCTTAGAGCTGCAAATAACTCCGCTGCAAATGCAAAAACAATGTTAAAGCAAAATATATAAATTAGTTAATCAGAGAAATATAGATTACTATGTTCATGAATTACCAGAATTGATAGTAAAACTACAGAAACCATACCAGTTCCGGCAGGTTGAATGCGTTTATGGGCTTCTTCAAGTATTTTGTTGATTGAATCAATAGATTCCAGACGAACCTAGTATTCAATAAAAAGAAGTTATATGCAGTTCAGAAAAAATGGCGACCAAAGATTTAAACAAAATATGATACCTTCCAGTCAGAGCTACTGAGATTTTTAAGAAGATTAGGTGTTATCTTCGCGCTAATGTCTTCTCGTGGCAAGCCATCAAATCCAACGGGCATTGATGATATAGAATCCGAAATTTTAATTACTTTCTTTGGTGCTGCAGCAGCGCCCTACAAGGAAATAGGGTAAAAACTACAATAATACACCAACATCTTTATAGCAACTGCATGGAGTGGTATAATCAATGATATTACCTCATATGGGTTCTTTTCACACTCTGCCTCAAGGGTACTTAGAAGTGCGGGTTTGACATCAGATAAAAATCCTTTAATATCTGTTAAACTTTCAATGCTATAAGGTCTACTAATAGAAAAGACATGTCTACACTTAAGTAGAAAAAATTACCTGGACCAACAAATCTATGCAGCACGCCTATAAGCTTGATAGTAGAGTTTCTTGTTGCAGCTGCACTAGATTGCAACCCAGTCTCTTTGCAGAAATCAATTAGATCCTACAGGCATTTGCATTAGTACAAGTCAAGAAGATTTAATTGAAGATCCAGATCCTAAAGTTCAATTAAATAAGAAAAATGCAACGAAATAATAAGTATCGGTAGGAAAAATGAAAATTCTATACCTTCAACTTTATATGGGAAATACCAAAATCTTCCAATGCTGAGACCATCCACAATAAACCCTCGCTGAGAACCTTAGGGTTTTTGTGCTCTTTTAAAATTTTGTAAAGCTGTAGCATAACCCAATAACAAGCGACAGAAGAAAATACAAATTACATGAAAGGCTTTAACAATTGATTATTTTAATTCCATAAAATTAAAACAATGATATGTCAAAAATACGATGAGCACATTATTGTGCTGCTTACTCTATCAAAAATAAACCCTGGACCAACAGCCTCAGAAAAAGTAGTAAGGCATTTCATTCCATGGGCACGAGTTTTGATATCCGCCACCCTTTCACTTATGCCTGCAAAGGGTTGAAAAGATATATTCTTAGCTATGCAAAAATATGAATTGTAACTAATGCAAATAGACTAAAAGAAGCAGGGAACAAATTTACAGGAAAAATACAGACTAAGGCTTCATTTGGGACGACTTTTTTACTTCTTTTTAAAGCAGCTTTTTAGTAGAAATTTTTTAATTTTTGTACTAAAAAACTGCTTTAAGAAACAGTAAAAAAGCCGCCCCAAATGAAGCATAATATACACCTATAAAATGTTTGCAAACCACCAAACATCTATGAACGCATATGAATTTTTAGCAAAAGACAAGCATCTAAAGTTGACAGCTTAAAACAATAAAATCTTAGTGAAGGAAATGCCCGTATAAATTTAGAAATTACACATAAGTACACACCTGGTAGGCAAAGCACCACACATTTTTTTGGGAAACGCTTCACTGTTGAAGCCACATATGTGATCACCTCAATGACCTGTTGCTGGACCTGTGCCCCAATAGACATGATGTCATCAAACCATCACATTACCAAGCATATCAATAACATTCTATAACTGTCATGCAAATACCTGCACATTTTTTTCAGCCCAACCAGGAACAGCACATAATAGACGAATCAACAACTCAGCAGTAGAATCAAGTTCTCCGATGTTTTCAACCTCCTGTTTCAGCAAACCAATTGCTGCAAAGCAAGATAAACTTCAGTGTAACTGTAAAGAGACCAAAAATAATAATAATAAAGCACGTCCAGAAGACAGTTATTTAGGTAAAAGAAATATGCATACCATTTCACATCAGATTGCCAACAAAAATAAATAAGAGACTAATGAAAAAAAAAAAAGCCAATGCAGAATAACTCATACTTTCAACAGCTAATTTCTCTCACAAGGCTCTAGTTTAGCCAAAACAAAATAAATCAAAGTAAAGGTTTTTATCTTAAGGCAAGTTTGGTTGCAGGAAAGAATAGAGAGAAAGTAAAACTTCAAGTTCTGAATGAGGAACCAAATACGTCAAATTGGAAAAGCTTGTTGTTGGGTATTTTGTGATTGCAGTGGAAACTCCCACTTAGGTTGTTTAGGTTCATTGATCCTGTAGATATTTGATGACATAAGGAGATCCCATTTCCTCCCCATCCAAATCAAAAACCAAAAAGAAATTAAAAAATAAAACCTTCTATATCACATTCCCTACAAACATAACTTCTCTATTGCATAAACCAAAATATACCAAAGGAATTACCACTTCTTGACTTCATCTTCAAGACAACAAATGAAGACCTTACTTCTGTATTACCATATTCATACTCTCTCTTGCCTCACACTACTCCATCTCTTAGTCGCTAGCTAACACTCGATCTCCTGAATATATTCTTATTTTCAAGCATTCTTACAACAATTCATTAGTTATATTATTTCAATCTTTGATTCTTTTTTTTTTTTTTGTATTTTAACATTCCATTAAAAATATTATTAAATATATCATTACAACAACAACAACAACATCAAGCCTTTATCCCACTACGTGGGATCGGCTACATGAATCCTTTTTCTCCATTGTGTCCTATATAAATATATCATTATATTTGTTAAAATCTTCTTTATAATATAATTTAAGTTTGATTACTTAAATAACTACTATAACCATATAATATATATGTATATGATATACAACTCATTAATGCTCTAGTTAGTAAAAGAGGCATTTCGCCTTGTGCTTGGCACATTGAACCAAAAATAAATAAATCCTCGTGCATCACATTAAGCTTAGACTTTTAAAACACTAGACTAAACCCAACAACCCAATATCAACTCTAATATATATATATTATGGCAATTTTTTTAAAAGAGAGATACTTTACAACCTACCACTCCACCATCACATACTAGCCACCCCAAATTTTGGATCACAGCAACAAAGACCAGAAATAGTGCATGGCAACTCTCTCTCTCTCCATGGCTTCAATTGAACACCTCCAAATTATAGCTCACCCAAAAGTAATTTGAAAAATGTAACTTGAATAAGGAAATGGCCTAAATATAAATGTTGAAATTGTAGCTCATAGTAACATGATTTCTAATTTCAACTTGTATTGTTGGATATTTGCATAAAAGAATAACTACCAGTAGACTTCAACAGAGATAGTCAACTAGAATCCAGCTTTCAAACTGGTTTTTTATAGAAGTTAAATAATTACTTCTTTATGCACATGAAGACTTGCTGGTGTAAAAACCTAATGTTTTTTTTTTAAATATTTAATTAAAAAGCAGTAAATACTGATAGTAATAGTCAGTAAAAAAATTATGAAAAATGTAGCACTTAAAGTGAATTAATTAAAATGAGTGAATTTTCAAAATAGATGATTACTTAAAAAATAATCACTAATTAATACATACATATACATATATATATATATATGTGCATGTTGAAAGTTGGAGTTACCATTTTATGGTAGCAGTTCAGGACGCTTGTAACAACGCGTATAGAAGATTATGACTTCTATTTTTCGGTGATGTAATAGGTTAGTAAAGGATATTAATATTAATGTATCATATAGATGAAATTTAAATAGTACTTGTGTGATGGTTGTAATGATTATTACAATAACACTATAGATAGATTAACAGATGAGCGACATCTTTTGATAAGTGTATCTACTCATTCTTGATGTAGCTAATAATTATTATAAATAAAAATTTATGGTTTAGTAGCAATGTTATAATATCGGAATTTTATTGTAAGAAATTGTTATAGATTTATTGCTTTTCCCTCTCAATGCCAGTTCCAGGTCAGGCCATGACAGTTGGTTCACACGTGGGGTATGCCCTAGCTACAACTGATGCAGTCAAGAGTAAGTAGGCTAAGAAGATTATAACTTTCTGAAATAAGAGGTTAAAGGTGATTTACTCAAGTCATGCACAATAATTTTCTATTAGTTGTATGCTATGGCTAATTACTGATTAGGTAAACATGATAAATAGTATTGCTGGAGTAATTGTAGTGCATGACATATTATAAGCATTTTGCCAAAAGAATGAAAACAATGAATTTAAAATATAAACAAAAATTACTTGCATAATCCTAAATTTGAGTGAAAATACTCAGCATTTCATATATAATAAAAAAAAAACAAGAAACACGAGGAATAGATAAAATATCTTATTGTTTTCACAAAAGCAGAACATGACTCAAGTTCAGTGCTAATGGAAACTTAAATTGTTGAATTTGCCAGTTAAAGAGTGAAAAGATTCCAAGAAGAAAGGCAGGGTAATCAGAAATAATGCAGAACCTTCTAGGCGCTCCTTCCAAACACTACTTTTTAATTGCGAGATAGTCTCAGCATTTATAAGGGAACACAATCTTTGCTCAATTTCTTCTAGAGACATCTCTCCTGGCTGTAAGCATCCAGTGTTAGTGAAGAGGTTATTAATATTTATAGTGTGCAAGGGGAAAAATAAAGGGCATGGGAACATAATAGGTATCTTGATTCTTTTTTTATTCTTATCACCTAATATTCCAGACATACCTCAACATCTTCAGCCTCAATTGACATTGAAACTTTAGATGGGGCAACCCCATCAGACTTCTTTACTAATCCAGCTTTTGTGGTCCCACCTTTTTTAGCAATAGACTGTATGAATCATATAAAGTTATCACCAAAATAGTCAATACCATACAGAATTTCACTACCATTGCTGTAAAAGATGGTTAAAATTACCACTACCATTGCCTGGACTGGCCTCTTTCCACTAAGCATGCTTGCTGCAGATCTCCTTACAAATGAGCTGTCAGTGCCCTTCAGACAATAAAAAGAAGTGGTCATGCACCAAGGATTACTTGCTAATGAGTAAACAAATGGAAATAAGAATTTTAACAGAACTATGCAATGGACTAGAACTGTGAAAATTAACAAATGTCAAGAAAAACTCAACAATTGCAATACCTGATGTAAAACATCTTAGGTTCTATGATTTTGAAATGTGGATCAAGGATGAAGTGAACAAAATTATGCATATCAGGACCCATAGTTCACAAACTCCTAATTTATACAATTAGTCATCCTTCAGATAAAAACCAAAAATACACAAAAAAATTAACGCAAGTGATTTTTAAACCATCGCCTTAGAGAACTCTCGCAAAGAAATTAAAGCAAAAACAAGAATATCATATGTTTGGTAGAAAACTCACCATAATAAAAAAATCTAAATTGCATCAGGAGTGCTGAAAACTAATAGGAAACACTTGTAGATCTCAAGTATTTCCTATCAATCTTCGGAAAACAATGAGAGTTCTCAACAAAAATCCACACAAAACCCACGAAAACAGGAGATAATTTGTATTATTTGATAAAAGGAAACGGAAAATATCAAGATACAATTGATCCTCTATTCGAGAGGAGGATCTATCTCTCCCAAATCTCTAGACGCCGCTAGAGCCCAAGAAAAATCTAAGAGATCTCAAATTTTAGCAAAATTCAAGATGCTCTACCCCTAGCAAAACAAACTATTTAATGCATACAAATCAAAAGGAAATCCCTAAACAGTCCCTACATTCAAATTTTCCTCCTAACTCCCACAAAAATCCTTCCTAAAACAGCTCACGCATGCCGTGCGTGCGTTCGGTGCGTATAAGAGGCGGAGAAGTCCGCCTCTATTCGCATAAGCCGGTCCCATCGGACCGGCTAGACCGGTCTAACAATACTCCTCTTCCAAAAATCCACCTTGTCCGCAAAGTGGAAAGACGACACCATCCTCCATTCCTTCTTCATCACAAACGGTAAGAACGTGAAGAGTTCAGTCTTACACATGTGCCCTGACGTATACCTCTCATCACATCTGAAACATATCCCCTTTCCCCTCTTCTCCTGTAATTTTGTTTATGTGAGCTTCTTGAAGTTGTCCTCAGGTCTTCCTCCGGCAGTCTCCTCTTTTGAAGTCTCCCTAAGAGTACCCAGTGTTGGCTCCTTGCTTGCCAAAAAGGTGGTGGTCATCCAGTACGAGCATCCTGCTCCTTTTTCCAAGTTCCTCTGATCCTCCAAGTGAACTAGCTCCATAAACTCTCCCAAGTCCTGAGGTTTCATCACTCTGACTGTCGCGTTGACCTTTGGTTTCAGTCCCTTCATAAAGTTCCCCTCCAGTACAGTCTCTAAAAGCTGATCCAATCGATTTGCAAGGTACTCAAATTGCTCAAGGTACTCCATCACAATCCCCTCCTGCATCAAAGCGAAGAACTGCTCGTATAAGTCCACTCCCCTGCTGGTTTGGAAACGTTCAAACATGCAGTCCTTAAACTCCCTCCAGGTCCTTATCGGTCGCCTCATATCCCTCCATTAGTACTATGCTAAAGCCTTCCCTTCCAAGCCATCCCGGCTGTCGTTAGCTTGTCCTCCTCCGTCAAACTATTGACAGTAAAGTATCTTTCTATCCTGTAAATCCACCCATCTGCATCCTCTCCCTCAAAGATAGGCATCTTCAGTTTCCAGACCCTCAAATCGCCTCTGTTCCTCTGTTCCTTTCATAATTTCCCCTTCCCCAAGGGGTGGTTATCCTCAAGTGTCTCAATCATCGCTTCTACATTCATACACAAACCTTTCATCGCAAACCCACCTCTCCTCCCTTCACATTCAGCACCCCTTCGATCATATTCAACCCCTCCTTTCAAATTCGGCACCTCTTTGATCATAATTAAGTCCTCGTCTTTCCAATTCATCCCCTCCTCTTTCAAATTCAACATCCCTCCACTCATGCACAACCCCCTCATGTCTCTCCACATATCCTCTACTGGACTCCTTCCTAGGAATAGGTCCTAAGGGAGGCATTTTTTATGTTCCCTCCAAAATCTCCACCTCTTGATCTTCATTTCGTCTGACTGGCTTCAGATTGTCCCCACTTCCGTGGTTGTCGGCTCCTTCCCTCACCCCTCCAACGGCGATATTTTCGTTTGGCCCTTGAGCACTTTCTTCAACATCTCCTCCAGAATGGAAAATTTTGAATCGAACTTATCATGGATGGCTGAAACATCTTTTTTTAAATTTGAAACTTGAGTTTGGAGATCTGAAATTTCATATTTTATTTGTCCACTCTCCACTTCTAGGCATTCCTCCAACGCATCCATTTTCTTAGAAGCCATTGATGCCCAAATTTTTGTATAAATAAAAATATGGACTTCGACCTTCAAAAATAGCAACTTTCTTCTTCGAAATCCCAAAAACAACCGCTGAAATTCACTAAAACAACCCACCAAAGGTCCCAAAAACAGCTCTGATACCAATTTGATAGGAAGCATTTGTAGATCTCAAGTATTTTCTATCAATTTTTGGAAAACAGCGAGAGTTATCCACAAAAATCCACACAAAACCCACGAAAACAGTAGATAATTTGTGTTATTTGATAAAAGGAAACAAAAAAATACCAAGATACAATTGATCCTCTATTCGAGAGGAGAATCTTTCTCTCCCAAATCTCTAGACGCCGCTAGAGCCCAAGAAAAATCTAAGAGATCTCAAATTTATTTGAAATATTTAAGTATTTCCTATCAGTATGGAACATCATAAATAAGTTGTTAAGTTGTTATTTCATAATGAATTGAACCCATAGGAGGTAATCTTTCTCCCTCAACTTATGCCTAAGAAGTAGTGAGTTAGAGAAGCTTTCTTAACTAACATTAATGCCTTAGATATTGTTTCAAGATTGGAGTAACATCAAAGGACTAGTTTCTATCAGAGGCCATGTTATCTTTAAGTATGATCACAATTAAGACAGATGAAGAGCACTAAAAGGAATTAGAAAATTAAAAAATGGAAGTTTGAAGAAAATAGCTTTCATATCATGTTGAAGAGAAGAATCTTAATTTCTTATTAATTGAGGTAGCAACAAATACAGAATTTATAGGAAATACCTAGTTTAATTTTAGAACTTGGAATGGAAAGAACTAAATTAGTCATAGAAGAGAAAGTGTGGAAAAACAATAATAATACAATCAAATTTTCTTTATTTACGTTTGTACCCTTGCTTGTTTGTTGAGTTGAGTTGTAGCCCTATGGGCATTTTAGTCATTTATCTTCTTTCTCTATGAGGCGAGGCCTATATATGAGGTCCTTGGTCTTGTATTTGGATGATGATTTTGATGAATGAAATTTCAGATTTTCGTCATTAGATCTCTTCGTGAGTTCTTGAGAGAAGTGATCCCTAAGATAGGGCCAAGTATCACCCACCAGCCACCAGTAGGAGCTGGGACTCGTGGTTAGTTTCTTGTTTTCTTTTTCTCTTCCCTTTCCCCTAGCCCCACTGCCGGCCATCTCCTCTCCTCCTAAGCCGCCGGCAAACTCCACCCCACCCACCACCCGTCGGCCACCCACACCCACTCTCTAGCCCACCGGCCCCTCCCCACCACTTGATTAACCTTCAAGCCGCCACCTTCCCCCCATCCCCTTGCTCCACCGCCAGCCACCTCACCCTTGCCCTCTTGATGATGATTTTAATCATCATTAACAATTACCTTAATGAACTCACATATTTCGGGAGAGAATTTAATCGAATTTGGAATTCAAATTTGGATCAAATACTTTCCTAAATTAGCCTTTTCAAATTAGGAAGGTTTTCAATTTGAGTCTAATTTAACATTAAATTAGATTTGAATATTTATTATCTTCCCTAAAGTGAACCAAGGAATTAGGAAGCAATAATTCCCTTCCCAATTTCACCCCACCCTCATCCATACCGCCAGCCCCCCCTTATGCCCAAATTTTGAATTCAAATTTTGAATTCTAATCCTTCCCTCCACCCTCAATTAAAGAGGATTTAATAACCCTAATTCCCCTAACCCATATTTGAATTTGAATTTGAATTTTAAATTTTTTCCCTCCTCATTTAATTAAATCTGAAATTAATTTCATATTTAATGCTCTTTCCATAACCCCAAACATAGACCCCACAAACCCTAATTCCCTCCACACTTGGCCGGCCCTCTTGCTTGCCCACCTTCTTGGAATTCCTCTCATCCCATGAGCCCTCTAGCAAGAAAAGAAGTCAAGCATCTTCACTTCGGACGTTGGTGGATCACCGGTCGTCTACACATAGCCCCTCCTCCGGCTAACTTTCGTTGGATCTCTGCCCCGGCTTACTCTCCTTCGTGGTGGCATCTTCCGGATTGTGGTGATTCTTCTTCCGCTAACCCCTAAAGAGTGCGAGTGAAGGAAACTCGAGGTAAATTCTCTCGTTGTTATGTGATGGATTGTTTGTTTGTTGCACTACTTGTTTTCATTATAATCTTGATATTATTTTGAGATATTGTCTTCTATTGTGTGGTTACTTGTCATATCAATTTAAACAATTTTAAATTCGTAAAATCTTTTCAAAGTGAAACACTAAGTTTAATTTGAGACGCCTAATTCAATAATTATAAATTTCTACGTGCAATTCCTATGTGGTTTCACATCACAATCACTTCATTTAAAGAAAAGAAAATAAATTACAAAAAATAATCTAAAGTCTCCCACTGGCACGAAGAATAGCTTTCCCATAGAAATTGATAGTTATCACTTCTACTATGCTTAGAAAGAATCACATCCAATCTAGCACTCAAAAGAACATAAAAACAAAAAAACTCAAAGAAATATTGTTAGACAAATTATCTTTTGTATTCCTCAAGTATCCCTTATGTATAATCACAAAATTTCCCTAAGTCACAAAAATCAGTATAAGACAACAGGATGAAATCCTACAGAGATTCAAAGTCATTGGAAGTAGAGTTTAAATATCCGATAACTCAAAAAAAATACAAATTCTAGGATACCTACAATACCCAAATTCCCTAGAAAGAGAACAAATTATGGATTATTCCATGGCATCCAACTATAGTAAGAAGGATCACAAATCATGTAAATCACATCTTGCTATAGTGCCCAAATAGTAACTCTCACAAATTATGTAAGATGAACCTACAAACCATATAAGGGAACGGGGGAGAAAGTCTGCATTAATTCATTTGGCTTGAGAATTTTAAGTCCTGATAAATTGTTCAGATGATATTTTTCAATATGTATGATTATAAATGTTGAACTTACTATAATAAAATCCTTGCATTATCATATGTTGACCGACTTTTTGGCTTTATAAAATATATTTAGTAAACATTATCAGTAGTGAAAATGATAATATATCCAATAATAGCTTCAAAAATAAGATTATTTTGAAAGTTTTGTGGAGGTGAACTTCCAAGGAGAAGACGGTAAGAGAAAAGAATGCAAAACAATGCTGGCTAGTTCATGATTTAAAATCAAATCAGCTTTATTAAAGATTGGAATAATATTAGAAATTCACTAAATTTACAACTTATAAGCGTTGACCCAATGTGTTGCATTGTTTTATAGCCATGCCTTTCTAACAGCTAATTTTTTAAAAGGCTCTTGAAGAAAACATATTATAATATAAATGTTTCATTACTTTATCAGCTAGTTTGAATTCCACATATATTCTGTTCACATTAGTAATAGACATATAATTATAAAGGTCAATTTTCTACAAATATCTTCATGCAAATCATACCAATGACTAATATAAAATAAAATATGATACGAGTAAAGTAATAAAATACAAAATTACTAAAATGCTTCCTAATGAATATAAATGAACGCACACTAACTAATTCTTAAAGAAAAAAGATAGCGAAAAAGGCTAAAAACAAATAATGCATGTAAATATGATGAGTCAATAAGGACAAATAACCTATTTAAGGAAAATTACAAATCACTTAAATATAAATCATGATGAAATGGTTTACTTTTAGATTTGACCACACAGATGCAATTTTAATTAGTTTTCAATGGTATTCATCATTAACAAATTCTACAGAATAGTGTTGAAATTAGATCATTAAAAAAGACAGATGAATAACATATCATCAAAACATCAATATCAGTATCAAAAGATAGCCTATACTAAAGGGCATTATTAGAAAGGTGCAGATGAACAAAAGAAAAAAGGAATATTAATTTTAAAACATCATAATGTCTATTGAAAAGGAAAAGAAAAATCATATGCTTTAAATTGCTTCAACAAGAGTAAATGGCAAGTTAAGAAAATGGATCTTAAGAAAAGTAAAAAGATGTGGAAACTCACCTCAGGACCAGACACATTACAACTTGAAGCCGATATTGGAGCTGCTAAAAAAACATCAACATTACGGAAACGAAACAGCAAAATCCATTATAATGATTAGGATAAGAAAACGGATGCACAGCAGCAAGTCAGACCTGATCCCGTATTCATGAGAGATGTACCATCACCAATCATTTCCGAAAGTTTCTTTTTCCTCACTTCATCTAATTTTTCTAATGACCTTTCTAATGGTCGCATGCCAACCATCTATTACATAAAAGGAATGCAAAAAGTTCAATGATGCTTTGAAACTGAAAACTCAAACCTGTTAGTTCAATGCTTAAAAATAATTATCATTCAATACCTTCGCTATAGCCGCTAAAGCAGAAAAAGATGCATCTCGGACTTCTGGTGTACCATCATTCAGACACTTGACAGAAAATAATATTAAGCTAAATAAAACAGTGTAACCGGTTGTTTTGCAATAAATTTAACAAATAAAAATAGCAAAAATGAATATAAGATTAAAATAAGAGTTATAATAGAATGATAAGAACTTGTTTTTTTTTTTGCTCACATCCATGCAAATAGGAACGTAGTCTTTATGTAACTTGAGCACGGCTGCTTTATTATTTGTCTCTATACAAAAGGTCACCCAGTTCAAAGTTAACGAACGCACAAGAGGAACTTTATTTTTCACTGCCCCCTTAACATCTGCAATAGCAATTAAAATTCAGCTCACAAAATAAATATTTTGAAAAAAAAATGGAAATGAAACAGCCACCATAAATGGCTTCAACCATAAATGGCTTCAACAAATAAGATGCAAACCAGCAAAAAAACTAGAATAAGCCTTCCTAACACAGTCGTTCAACTTCTACGTTAATTTTAGAAAATTACTTGATGAGGACATCGACCAACGCTACTGACATGTTTATCGAAGAAGGAATCGCAGATCTACGGCTACGATTCAGCGCCTTTACTTCTGATGCATTTCTTCATGTTATGTTTATTTAGTTATTTATTGTTTTCTGAATTTACCCCTTTGGGGAATTGTTTTGTTCTTGTAGCCCAGAGGGCAATTGCGTACTTTTCCTTTTTGTCATGAGTAAGACCTATATATAATGGTCTAATGTGTTGTAAGAATTTTGATGAATGATATGATATTTTATTTTGTCTTCTTCTTCTTCTTCTTCTTGTGAGTGCACTACAAAGAAGGGAGAGCCCAACGAGTTGGCAAGCGCAATACCCACCAGTCACCGGAAGAGTCCATGGCTCGTGGTTTTCTTTTACGTTCTCTATTCAAGTTCTGTTATCTCCCACCGGCTCCTCATCATCTTTCCACCTTCATCCCGCAATCAAAATATCTCCCCTTGATCCCATCAAATTTCCCTTCCAACCCCCACCCGCCAGCCTAGCTCTTGGCCACCTCAACCCGACGCCAAGCCTCCTTCTTCCCCCCTTGACTGCCTGCCCCATCCATATTCCCCATCATTATGATGATTTTAATGACCCCCTAATTGGTTCTTGCAATAAAGGGAGAAGTTAGAAAATATTGAAATTCAAATTTGAAATTCAAAAACTTTCCATATTTACAAAATTCTAAATAAGTAAAGTTTTCAAATTTGAATCCAATCCAAATTTCATTTAGAGCGGAATTATTATTTTCCCTCCTAATTGACCTCAACTTGTTTGGAAAGTGTTTAATCTCTCCATAATCCCCTCCCCTCTCCCTCTTAATGTCGCCGGCCACATATAGGGGAAATTCCCTCTTGGCTTCCTAATGAGGCTCCATCCCTAATTAATTTGATTTTCAAATTTCAAATTAATTCTGATGAAGACATCGTCAGCGATTTCGACGTGTACCATCAGAAAAGCCGGAAAACCCTAAACCCTAAACCCACGATCAGGAGTTTGTATTTTGAGTCATTTTATGTAGTAGTTTATTTTATTTTTCAGTTTTACCCTTATGGGTGGTCATTTAATATTGTAGCCCTGAGGGCATTTATGCCTTTTAGTTTTTGTTTCATTTTGGCCTATTTATAGGAGGCCAAATGCATTGTACTGGGGGATGAATATTAATATGAAATTTCAACTTTGGTTTTGGATCTCTTTGTGAGTTCTAGAGTTCTCTTTGTGAGTTCTTTAGTGAGGATTAGCCTAGGAGAGGCTCAAAGCAATACCCAACAGCCCCTTGGTGGAGCTCTTGGTTTCTCTCTATTTTTCTTCTTCTTTCCTTCTCCCCTAGCCGCCGGTTTTCCCCCACCACCCCCACTACTTGATCGGCGAACCACCAGCCCCCTCCCTTGCCGTTAAACCTTAGATCCCATCCCTTTCAACTCCCGTCCGGCCGCACCACCCCACCGCCGTCCGCCTGAGCCCATACCTGCAGCAGCAGGCCAACCAAGGAACCCCACCCGCCGGCCTAAGCTAGTGACCACCTCAACCCAATGCCAAAACTCCATGTTTCCCCTTGACCGCCGGCCCCCTTCCACCTCCCACATCATTATGATGATTCCAATCATCATAATCACTCCCTAATTTGGGTTCTTGCAATAAAGGGAGAAGTCAGCAAGTTTGAAATTCAAAATTTCCTTCCAATTAATTTGAAATTGCTAACATGCCACCTAAGCAAGGGAAATTAACTCCAAGATCATCTCTATAGTTGCCCACCTACTTTTCCACTTCATTCTCCAAGTTCCTGTGCATCCAACAAGAGGAAATCGTTGAAACTCCCCTCTCTAGCTTACTGTCCAGATCCCTGGACAGGTTCCATAAGTTGAACCTGAATATTGGAGCCTTGAAAGTTGCTGTCCAGATTCTGCTAATTGTTGTCCAGAGAAATTCTACTTCTCCTCCTGTTGTTCAGCCGGTCGGGAAATCTTTGTGTGCTATCTTGCAGGTTCAGATTTGCTGCCCACAACACTAAGAAGGTTACATCGCATCCAATTTACACTAGCACCTTCCATCGAGGAGCATATTCTTCCTAGACGTTGGATGCTCACTAGTCATCCCGTGGACTACCTGCCACCGGCTACCTCTCCAACGGACTACACTTTGAGCGTCATTTGTCTCCTAGTGGCATCGCTTGGTTTGCTCTCAATCTTCCTCCATTAAAGTGCTACCAACAAGAGAGTGAGTGAGGGACCCAAGGTGAAAAGTTCTATTTGTTAGCCGTGGATTATTGTTTTGCCATAACATTACTCTCTCTAATTTTATGTTGTTAAATTGATAGCATCCCGTTAATCTAGTTGTAACCGCATGCCTTACATAATTTCTACTTGATAATTCTGAAAGCCTAACTTGGGTAAGCATTAATTCTATAACTAGCAACGCTTTAATAATCCTATATTAAAATTCCCAAACAGTTCTTGTTTCCATGCATATGTTTTACATCAAATTCCCTCCAAATTTACTCAAAATTTAAAATTACTTTCAGATTTGGATTAAACTCCATCCTCTCCTCAACCTAACCTAAGCTCCTCTTCCAAGCCACCCGCCCCCTTCTCCCTACTTTGGCCGCCCCTTCCTTGCAACCCCTCTCTTGGAAACCTTAGTTTGCTCATGAAACTTGAAGCCAAAAGAAGAAGACAACCTCTCCTCCCAACCTCATCATTAGTGCATGGCCAATCCTGAAATCGACCACGGATTTGTATTCGACGATCAAGGAATGACGGACATTCTTGGATCCCCATTCTTTGATGTCTTCTTTGGAAACGATGAAACGGTTGAAGGATACATCGACCACATCTTATACCAACTAACATTGTCGATTGACGAGCACCTTTCACTGGGTCGTTGGATAATCGTCGGTCATCCACCGCCTCCTCCGCCGCCGGCTACCGCTCCGTCAATGAAGGTCCTCGGCGCCATCTTCCTAGTGGTAATATCCTTCTTCGTATGGCTCATCTTTCTTCGCTAAAGCCTAAGAGTGATTGAATGAGAAGGTACTCAAGGTGAACCTTTCGTTGTTAAGTAGTGGATTATGTTTTGTGTACTTAGTATTTACTATCGTTTTGAATTTTGATTGAATTTTTCGGTTAATATCAATCGCACTTTATTGGCCTAAGCAAGTTGATTACTTTAGATTCTTAACTCTTCTTTATGAGCAAGCCATAATTTTCATTAGCAACATTTTAATCAATTGTTCCTTTTAATTTCTCAAGTAACTCCTAGCGGTATCACATCATTACTATATCAAAATTTTGAGTAATTTAGACATTATTTCAGACCCAAGTTATCATTCTATATTATGAGGGATTCACAGAACCAACATTTCCAGCAAATTCTATTTTTTTTTTAACAAAAGAAAAAAAAAGGTGTTTCCATGTCCCGATTTTCCAAAAAAGCAAAGCAATGATGTAACCAAATTTTAATGGAACAAAACGTGGACAGAGCAACGAAACATGGACAAATCACAAAACTCGTCTTTTGGACAATATAACAATTAGTTGCCTTTGTAGCATGAGCATACCAAATAGATGAGCATGAACTCAAAGATTTGATGAACGCCCTCTTAATGATACAGACATTCACTCTAACTTTATTGAAATGTCTTGCCTTCGAATTTGTAACCCAGGAATGACAAGATGTCAGATTTAAGCTCCATGATTCTCAATATTATACAAACAAATATGGCGTATATTCAGATAGTTGAACAAACTAAAACACCATTTGTTCAACCCACTCATCTTCCTTTCCACATCCAACATTCAGGGTCAGTACCAAACTCATATGCATCAATCCGTCTTATTAGCAAGTACTTGCCTTCAATTACATCAGGAAGTGTAAGACATCCAGCCTTGTGCATAGCTTGAAGAGTCTGGCTAAGAGCGTCTGTCAAAGTTGGTTTCTTCTCCTTCAACTTTTCCTGTGAACAACCAAAACAGAAAGCACAAAAACCTAAACACATGTGCCCACTATATTCATACAATATGAGAAATAAAGCATTTTCAAGGAATCAGACAAAAAAACAACATTAAATTATGGAAATTACAGCACTTTGAAGAACACATAAATGACAATTTGACAAGGGAACCTGCAATTCCAGAACCTAGAATATAATAGTCGTGTTTCTTACCAATAAGACAGGCAATAAGATGCGTGAACTCCCAGTAAAATGAGTTCTCAAACCACGAGCTAGATTTCCAATTGCTTGAATGGCCTCTACGGAAACAGCTAGGTTCACATCAGTAGCAAGCTGCATAATCAAAGTTTCAAAATAAAATGTTAAAAGCATTAATTAACAGTTGGGAAGTTAATTGACAATATTAAGTAAAACACGTCTAAACCACACACAACTAGATGATATTCATTGGTAAGGAACCACAATAAGTAGATGAGATCGATCAGCAAAGATAAAGTATATTAAAAAAACTTAATAGATGCACAAGCACGACAGTGATTGCTAGAGGAAAGCATAATAACTCAGAAAAATAAGCATTCAAAACAAGAATAGCATGATATAATTTTTTTATAACATTATATAATTAAAAGCATGAAACGTGACAGTTCAAAGAATTTTATGAATAAACAGAATCAATTGGATAATAACATGGTAGATCAATAAGAAATTACAGTAAAATTTTAAAACTAAATAGTACAACTTAAAACATTTAAACGTCTAGCCTACAAAAATTGTGGATAGTTATATTACCTTCTTAAGGGTCCTGCAAATTTCAGCAAAATCACCAGGAGCAATTCTTTTTGTTGAGGCTAACTTTGTAAGTTCTGCCACGGCATCCCTTCTTTCAGACCACTTTGTGGCTTTCTGAAAAATAGATGGTAACAGGAATAAATAAACAATATAATAAACCTCCATAAGATTTCAGCTTGAGGTAAAAATGCAAAATTAAGGCAAGCATGATAAGAAAGCACTGACCACTCCATCCCAAAATCCAGATTTTTCCAACGGAGTCAAAATATCAACTGGATCAACAAGCTCATACTCATCTATTTCCTGAGGGACTGTTAACAGGAATATATGAGCCTCCATGACTAATATCACAAAGGGAATTCATAAGGTGACCAATAGTTTACAACATATATTTTATACTGTTAACAAATTAAAAGGCTTCCATCAGTAGTAAGTTTGCAGAGGACAAAGTTAGTACATTTCCCTAAGTTATCTACATACCGTCAGCTACTGATTCATCAGAAGCACCCGTGCCCGTAATTTCAGTAACAGTTTCCTGTTCAGGCTCCTTATCTTGCTCGGATCTGGAATTTAAAAAAAATGAGAAATTTCATCGCAAAAAACAAGTTAATTAATGGAAACGGAATATCAGAACACTGTCAATCAGACATTAAAAAAAATTGGGAATTGACATAAAGAAGATGTAGCTGAAACTTTATGGGAATCATAAGGATATCTGCAGTTTGTAGAGATAAAAAGATAAAACGCTTAAAAAATCAACCTCCCATTGACCGCATTGGTAGTAGATCTCATGCACTATGTGCACCCGATAGAAAAAAAACAATGATAACTAAAGAATTCATCATAGTTTTTCTCATTCAGGCAAGCAGAGAATAGTTCATGATCATGAAAGATGTTACCATCAAAGAATATCCATAATTTAACAACCTTGATCCGTATCCCACCTCTCAACAATATTGTGTAAGCCTATAATGTGAAGTTAGAACAATTACAAGGATTATAGGGATTCTTCTGAGAAAAGCCCTAATGACTGCCAAATCAAATTAAAGTTACCAATTTAACTTTTTCTTTCTACAAATAACAAGTTATTGCTCTAATGTAGGTTCGCTTCAACCAGATAAGCTAAGTTGTTGTTTTCCCTTCTGATCAAATGGTTTATGACGGTTGAACTGATTTCATGTTAGGAATGCAAAGAACTTGCTATTTTTGAGTTTTAGATATGCAGATAACATACAACAGCTTTCCTTGTGTTGGAAAGCAACATGTCCCTAATATTTTGATGGGGACATCAGATAATGGAAAGTATATCAAAGACATGGTCGGCGATCTACAGCCACGATTGCGCCGATCTATTTTTGAGTCTTCATATGTATTTGTTTTATTTATTTGCATTATGTATTTGTTTTAGTAGCAGTTCGCATTATACCCTTAAGGGTTTTGTCATATGTAAGCCCTAGGGGCTATCTTTTATTTTCCCTTTCATTGTATGAGGCTATATATAGCCCACTTATGTTTCTTTTGAGGTTAATGAATGAATTATAATCAAATTCCTGCAAATTGAGTTCTTGAGAGAGCTTGAGAGTCTTTGGAGAGAAATCCATATGAGAGGGAAGCGGATCACCCACCAATCTTGAAAGAGTATGGGTTCGTGGTTGTTTTCTTCTCATTTTTTCCTCTTTCTCCCTCCCTTCCCTTCCACCCCACGGCCCAGCCGCCCCTTCCAAAACCGTCAGCCACTCCCCAAACCACCTCACCACCGGTCGCCTCAAGCCCCTCCTCCCCTTGTGGCCGAGTCCACCCCCCTCTTCACCCAACCAACCACACCGCCACCACCAAAACTGGCGGCCATCCAACCCTAGTCGCCGCCCCCTTTGATTTTCCCCCATCAAAGCATGCACTAAAAGCCCTTCCTATTTGGGTCTTTATATTTTATGTAACATAATTAACTCATAATTCAAATCTATTTGAATTTGAATTTGTTTCCGAAAATACAAAGTTCTATTTTGGGAAAGTTTCCAAAATTAATCCTATTTGAATTTTAAATTAGATTGTAATGAGATCCATCCTTCTTAATTTAATATTCCAAATTAAGTAGGCTTGATTTCTTTCCCCAAACCCCTCTTCCCCTATTGATGCCGCCGGCCCCCTTCCATGCCCCACTTAAATACTTTCCAAACTTAAAGCCTCTCTCCTTGGAAAGAATTCAAGGCCTCTCCCTCTCTCTTACCCGCCCCTCCATCTCTCCAATTTCCCTTTAAATCCTTTACAAACTTAAAGGATTGATTAGGGAAACAATTTCCCAATTTCCCTCCATCCTCCCTCCTTAAAATATGAACCATTTTTCCTCCACCTCTCTCTCTCTAACCTAGCCGGCCTTCCCCAACCCATAACACCTATTATCATGTGATTTGGCCTAAGCAGAGGCACTCCTCTCTTCTTTTCTATTGTCGTTAAATGGCTAACGTTTTAATATTTATTGCTCTTACTTAAAAGCGTGCAAATTCTTATTTCAATCATTTAAAGCATACATAGTCCTACATCATATTTGATTCAAGAAAGCTTTAAAATAACAATCAAATTATTGTTTACCCGTGCACAGATCAAGACCAACACCTTGATGAAACAGGTTGCAGCAACAACAATTAAATAAAATGACCAATCAATGTACAGCTATTAGAGGAAATGGTAAAGTGAGCAAAGGCTCTTAGGGCTATAGGAAGGACCATCAGCTACAAGAGAGGGAGAAAAAAGAGAGAGGGTTTTGGGAAATATGGAATTAACTTTCAAAGCAGGAAACAAGTTTATTTATAAGAAATTACAACAGAAAAAATATTTTAGAAACATACCTAATCTATCCTAAATTGACTCCAGAATAGAAGTAAACAACTCTTAAACTTCACAATATAAGAAACCCACCTTCAAACAACAACTCAAATAAAGTTCAGATTTAAAGGATAATTACAACAGACTTCTACTGTAACTAGAACCAAAAAAACAAAAAGAACAAACTTATCCAAACAACTTCAAAATTCAAGCACATCCTTATCTCTTTGTAATATGGATTTTGATCCAATAGCCGCATTTCCTACTTTTATCTTAATAGCTAAACCACCAATTTATGGCCCTTGCCGGTAGATTCCTAGGGATGTTCTCTTTAATCTCAATGATGTGATCTGAGAATCACCACCATTAGCAAACTCCATTATGAAATCAAACAGTTTGAACTGAATTCTCAATCTCTCAATCCCTCCATGATCTGATAAATTTTGATAATAACTTCATCGAATATGAATTGTCTCAATCTCTCAATCCCTCCATGATCTGATAAATTTTGATAATAACTTCATCGAATATACTTTTTTTTTAACTTCATCGAATATACTTCTTGAAAGTAGACAGTCTTATTCGAAATCCCCTTTATGATTTGATATCTAGATCACAAATTCTCTTTAAAGAGGAATTCCCACCTATGGATTTTTTTATTTCAAACTAAGTGGAAGCTGCTTGCCCAGCTTCCTTAGCATTCCACTAAGTTTTGATTGGCAATTGTTCCTTCAAGAAGTTTATAGGAGATCCTAGAAACTACTTTTGAAATTTTAAATTTTGAGAATTTCTACTTTTATAGAGCTTACATAGAATATCATCTTTAGTAGCCTCGTACAAATATATAAAACTAAACCTAGTGTGCTACTTAGTTTGACATATTTCTGTATTAATGTCACATTTTCAAGCTCGTCAAAATCAATAAGGAACTAATTTCCTCGCATCCTTTTCTTATTTGTATGATCAAGAGGTGACCCTTCTAGTTCCCTTCAATAATGGAGACTTCTCCATCATTTACAGTATTTGCTTCAATGTCCTTTTGGAAGACGAGCTTTTCATCCTTCCAGGTATATTTTAGAAGCAAAAGAGTGCATGGTTGTATAATCGTGCACAGATTTGATCACTCTTAAATCTCCTTCATTTTGGTGGAGTATATCTTGACAATCAAGTTTTGATATATCGACAAATTTGGCATAGGCGTATTGAAGACTAACTATATCTCACTAAATGGACTTTTTTAAGCAATCCTCTTGCCTTTTTTATAAATTGATGTAAACTCTTTAGTCAACCTCTAGGTATGCATTTCACCTTTGTTCTTCATCCGGGCAAACCAACATCAACATGAGTTTTTGGTGGGGGCAAGAAATATAGGGAGACTATACCCCTCGCCCACACGAGAGATTTGTGTGACCTTGAACCGACGACAACCCACTAAATCACGAATGACGTGACTAAGATGAGGAAGAACAAACTCTTACATTTCAAATTAAACTAAAAAGAAGAAATTAAAAGACTACAAACGACGATCTAACAAACTCGAATTGAAAATCAAAGACACCCTAAAGTTGCTTTACTTAGAGACGAAAGATACAGATGGAGTGGCACTTGCGGAGAGATGAAAGACATTCAAAGCCGAGACGAAAGGTTGGAAAGAGCTCGCAAGATTTCCGGAGGGGATGAGAAAGAAGACGGACAAAGCTCGCAAGCTT